ACATTATCCTCCTTCTCTACTTTATACTTACTAGATGTGTAATTATTTTGGTTAACAAAATCTATCTGTACATTATCCTCCTTCTCTACTTTGGATGAAGCTGCTTCTAGTGTCACAATGAGGTTGGAACTGTTGGCTCCCTGAAACACAATCACACACAAATGTAGCCTCAAACTCAGCAACAAACATTCCTGATAGAAATCCATCAGTAAAACTGTTAATTACAGGAAATGTCCCTCCTACAAAAGATACTCACCAAGTAAGGCATGAGAACGTCAGCACCATACACAAACACGGCTCCTAGTATAAATCCTATGCTAACAGGAATGAAGGACCACTGTCCCTGTTCTCCATACAGACCAGAACGTTCAGCCATTTCTATAGCGGGGGCAAGAAGTGACCAGTAGGACGCAGCTGTCATCACCTGGAAGACAACAAGAGAAGTAGTTCACCAGGTCTACTAGGGGTATTTATTTTGTTTAGCGTCCTAATAACAGCTTAGATCATTTAATGGTTTGCCTCTGTACAGTTAATGTATGCATGTGTGCTGAAGGTGGTATCTTGGTGTATTTGACTCAATGTGATATCAAAGATCTGATGTCGACTTTGAAAAGTAGTACCTCTCGTAAATACCATGCCAAAGGCAAACTAAATCACCACCCAACACTACTGGCAAATCCTACCAGCCCCAGTTTTTTTTTAATTTACCCAGGGTGTGTGATATGACCTTGTGATTTGTGACATGACTGAATGAATTTTGGACACAACCCATTTCTTCCTGATGTAAATTTGACTTAAGTGTTGTTTTTCTTACATGTACATGAACAAGATCTTTTTAACACACCTGGTTACCCCAAGTTTTGTAACATGACTCTAAAATTAATGACACAACCAATGTAGGCCTTTAAATTTTGCGATATTTGAACAGCATACATATCTGTTAATCTGTTATTTTGGAATCTACTAAATTGATCCTTACTTGCAAAAGATAATTATGAAAATTTGTTGTTGATCATGAAATTAATGTGTCACATTAAATCAACATTTCACAAGCAATGCTGAATATTGGATCCAACTCGGAGACCTTGATGTGGAGGTCACAGGTGTTAGAGACACTAAAATAATGATTGTAGGAATTTAAAATATATATCTTTTCTACCATTATTATACATGTAGAAATTTATAATGCTCAATAATAATAAATTGTGTTATCAATTTGACAATTCTCCCAGTTTTTGATATTCAGAGAGGGTGTGATACAAAACTTATCTCCCACCAGGCCCTCATACAGTGACCTTCAATGGGGCCTTATTCAGTATACATGTATGATATATTGATTTTAGGCTAAAAAAACCATTGTACAAATAAATCATTCTTATTGCCTAAAGAAGAAAATATTTGAGTAAAGACTATAGCATTACTACTTACACCAGCAGCAAACCCCAGACTGGCATCCAACACTTTTCTCTGTAACAAATTCAAATGAAGTTCATATAAAACCAGATTTAATTTGTGAATGTTCCTGCCTGTTTTGGTGTATGCATCTATATATAAATCACCCAATTTGGACTAGTCTGTACTATATATTATCACCCAATTTGGACTAGTATGTACTATATACAATCACACAGCAACTTACTTTCTTTAGGTCAAACAAAATAAACGTAGTGTTTCTGTTTTCAGCTCTTAAAAAATACAGTCTACAAGTAAGTACATTTAGTTAAAACTTTTTTATTTTTCATTTTTTTTATTATAAAGAATAAAAAAATCTATATTGCAACAACCTTAAAACTATATGTACCAAACACGCACAACTTATGCCTTAACTTTTGTTTATTCTAGCCTTCAATATATGTACACGAACACATGAATGTATCGATTCTACCACCGTCCACGTGATAATGAGAAGCAAGGGACGTAAACGCTGCTGTAGATACTAAACTATAACACACAACTTCTCACAACTTACGTGAGATCCGCTACACCTCATACACCTTTATCGAACACCAGATCGACGTTGCAAATTTGAAAAACAATTATGTCCCTGGCAAAGTACAAATAAGACGATTTTGTGTTTTGTGGCATTGTCCAGAGTAGCAGTAAAAGTTACGTAACGCTATTGCACATACGCACACCCGTACGGCATACACACACCTGTACGGCATAGGGCAAACACACCTGGCATACACACACATGTACGGCATAGGGCAAACACACCTGTGTCGATTTCAGACAAAAGAACGTACCTGATTGCTCTGAAATACAAAAACCAGTCCTGCTCCAGCTGCTGTGAGTCCCCATGTAAACAACGTACCCAGAATTGTCTGGACGGTAGCGCTGTAACCGTCTATCATGTTGCCAACTGTACATGTTATGTACGACCACTTCCGGCTACTTCGTTCCCACACGTGATCACAAAATGAAAGTAGACTGACCCATTTTCATAGACTTGCTCAAGACCAAGAATAGGCGAAATTGAACTTTACGTTTCCTCAAACTATATACAAATGTCATATGAAAATTAAACTTAAATTTACAGCAACCTCACACAGAAAGACCAGTGGACGAGGGGGGAAAAGGGAGAGAAAAAAACTGCGATGAAAAGGAAAAATAAAGGTGGGTACATGGATAGGTACCAGAGAACTGCATGGTTATTATTGTTAGTGGGGTGTACATGTAGTGCTGACTGTTTCACTGGCAGTAGACGTTTAATTCGGGGTTTGGGGAGGCTAGATTATGATAGTGGATCTGGTTATATATTATATATCATTTTATAATTGAGGTAGTCGGACAATGCAACATACAAGTGTACGTTCCATTATACAATAGGTGTACAGTCTGTACATCTGTACAATAGGTGTACAGTCGACATAAAACAAGATACTATATAAAGATATAAATGAAAAAAATTAAAGCAGGTCATCATCAAACACAAAACCTCTCAAAAAAATAGTCAAAGCAAGAAACAATTCAAACTAAATTATATAACTACAGATCATTTAGTATTAAATCGATTATAGGAAAACTACTACTTCATCGGACCACCAGGGGTACAGTACATGAATATCGACAATTTATTTGTCCATGAACAACACGGGTTCTGAAGTGGAAGGTCGTATATCGATATACATGTATATATTGTACAAAGCCTGCTATAGTTATACCCGGACTTCAAAACACATTAAAAAACTTTGATGACATTTTCCCAGTCAATTACAGGTTGCACAATAATGGCCAGGAACATATTGGAGTGAATAGAACATTTCTTGCATAATATGAAACAAAAATTGTTCATTACTGGTCGTGAATCGAAAAACCTGTCACAAGTAGGATCCCAGGACGTGTCATAGGACCTGCGCTGTTTTTGATTTGCGTGAACGATATACCCAAAGTACTTGTGAACAGAATAAAATGATCGCAGATGACGAAACGATTTTATACCAAGGATTGTCATTGGACAAGCACTTGACTGATGTACCAAGTACCTAAGCATTTACCTAAGGCCAGAAAATACGTGATCTCTCAACGTAGTATTAAAAAGGAACGTATTGGAAATTCACATTTGAGGACCTCTGCAGATGTCCGGAATCAATAAAAATATCAAATAGTCATTAAAGATATGTAACGAAGGACTACAATGCCAGCACGTTAACATTTGTATCCAGTCTGTCTTACACAGACACGTTTAAATCTTTCAGATATCAACGATGGACCATAGAAGTGTCAGGTCGGATATTGCAGAAATTGTTAAAATCCATACAGATACAATCCGAGAAAATTTCTTGAAGCCTAGCTTCACATTATCATTGCAAGCTTTGTAAGTTCCAATAAAAGAAGGATGACATTTTGAAAAGTACCAGATCA